ATATCCACATCGCTCTTATGGCAGACTCCATAGGCAGTGCAATATGCGCCTCTTATAAACATTGAGGCTACGATCATAGAAACTGCAGAAAGTTTTCCTGCGAATGGTTGTTTGTAGAGCAGATGTAGTATGAATGGAGCGATTAGGTAGAGTTGCATATCTAGGCCAAGGTACCAGAGGTAACCCATGCAGGTTGGGGTGGCTTGCCAGTTACCCAAAAATGTCAGATGTGAAGCGATTCCGCTTATCCCACATGCGGAAATCATAGAGGAATGGTACCTAGAATATGGAGATAAAGGTTATACTGAAGCTTTCTCTGTGATATAATAGCTCGTCTACCCAGCCGGCAAATGTATGTAAATTGAAATGTAAATGTAAATTTTTCTGCCCATGTAAAGTAACAATTTACACTCTATAAAGTGGATCGCCAGTTGGCAACAATGATTCAAAAAACGTCCGGACTGACCTTGGCAAGAAATGTTTCATCATAGGGCCAGCGGCTATGTAAATGAAGAAAAAGATTGATGGTGCAAGGCGCAACACTCTTCTTATGATGAACTCGCGGTAGTGTTTGAAAAACGGTTGATCCGCTTTGCGTAACCATGATCTGGCAGCGAGTAGTCCCGATAAAACCAGGAATATTTCAACTCCTAGAGCTGAATTGCCCAGAAGTGCGCCAAAAATTGGATTGTTGTGCACTGATTGCTGGAATAGCACTCATTGGATATTTTCGGCATTTCGACCAAGGAACAAAAAAGCATATGCTTGTTATTCGTCAACAAACTTATTTTATCATTTTCACGAGTTTGTAAAGACATTTAATTCCGAAAATAATTTCTATTGGGTAGAGATACATAGCAAAAAATGCGCACCACAATTTTCCCGACTCAATATAATGGACGAAGCAATTTACATTTGGGGTACAGTTCAGGAAAAACTGCCACATAAAGGGTTTACACAATAGTCATGGTATAGTGACTCTACCAGCTCATAAGAATTCGACAATTTTGGTGGGAAGTTTAAAAAAGAGTCTCTTTTAAAGTTGCCACGCAAAAGTGATTCAGGGTGAAAAACTGCATTTCTACATTAACCACAACGAAAATGCATGTAGGTGGCCGCGAAAATGAGACACAGTAATCCCTATAGTATCAAGACGCGCCAAGTATAATTAATTTTACATACTTTTGTATTTATTTAAAAGTTATGTTTCTAAACAACTGGTTCTATTTAGGACAAAATTTTTTTACAATGTCTCCCAAGCATTTCTTTAGCAAACATGCAATTTCGCAGCTTTTCTAATCCCATTTCAAAGCATCGCATATTTGGAACCACCGATACATGTTGGCACAGTACCATCAAGTTGGAAAAAAGAGCCCTCTGATCTCCGGCATAGTGCTAGTTGATTCGCTGCCTAGTTATCGAGAACAGCCGCTGATAAGAGTTTAGACTGCAGTACGCGTAATAAAAACATAAGCTTCCGATAAGTTATCAGGCACTAAGCGATCTCTGATTCATCGTATGACGTTGACAGAATAATTCGAAAAACCGTTCCTTAGAATATAAAATACTCTTAAAAAGGCAAATAACATACTTTAAAGCTCTCAGCAGACGGGAGTCGATCCAGGATATCCACACGACCTTCACTTCCCGTATGGTTGATCATTACCCAAAGGATCGCAATTACTCGGAACACGTCTAGTACATCTAACTGTGAATGGCGCTCCATCGTTAATTCTTTGAAAGATGTGCGAAGGCTTAGCGATGAGAGGACAGAGCTGGGATTTGCAGTACCGTAGATCACCTGAATACGGAAATTTAATATTAGGTGAAGATCTGCAAAGTGAGAGATATAGAAAGAGCTGCTCAGTCAAAGTAACTCGAAAAATATCTCAACAAGACTAGAATAGTAGATTTCGCTGATTTTTGACATTTTCCCAGGACAAAGTTCGATACTTGCTGACATTCACTCGATTGTAAAATTCTATTCGACAATAGGAAGCTCTAGAAAACAGATTATTACTCACCATAGCCATCCACAACACTAATGGAACCATAGCGATGGTGTAATCTTGAGGAATTAGTTGCTCGAATGCGTTCCACAGACAGAAGGTTTCATTACCAATGTTGGGTACACGAACTTCACGGTAGAGATAGACAGGTTCCATCACTATCGACTTTGTGCACTCAAAGCCGTCAAGCATTCAAACTCTAAATCGATTTTTATAGATAAGCCGTCAACAAGCAAAGTATAAACAGACGTCATTGCATTCATTATCGGGCAGGAAGTAATGCAGAGGATATTAGTCAATTTGTCTCAACTTGACTATAAGTTTGTGATAGACGCAGCAATCCGTACAAATACAACTCAAATCTAGAACGTTTAAGAACTCATCAAAAATATCGGATTTTTTGATAGGTTCGGATAATCAGACAGCAGCCAGATTCCTTGTCGGACAAGATGGAAAAAAAATGGCTGCTCACCAACATTTTTTAAATTGAAAAAGCTCCATATATTCAGCAAAAGCCTCACGCGTTAGCAAGCATATTCTGCGCAATACCTCGTTGAGATTTGCAAGCCCATTCTATAAGATAAGCAGAGTTTTGCAGCGATAAATCAGCTTTTATTACAAATGTTCGGAGAGGATGAAGATTGAAAGAGAACAAT